CACGTTTTCGCAAAAGCCAGAATCGCAACAGAATGCATGAACAGCCTGTGGCTTGACCTTGACTTGAGCCCTGAGCGGAGGCGTATTTACTGTGCTAATGATAAAGAGATCAATTAAAGCAGCGAGCTTTGATCAATACGAGCGTGACCGCGGTCCGCCCAACGGCAAGACGGGCTTGATTTTGTCTTCCTAGGGCACTGAGCCAGGCAAACGTCAACTCCCTTTAGACAGCAGTGGGACAGGAATTAGGGTGAGGATGGTGACAGATGTTGGCTATTGGCTGCTGAAATGTAGGGCAGAATGGTGCGCCTCCAGCTGGGAGCTCACACTGGAAAAGACATGATATACCATAGCACAAATCCATCATAGCCCTAGGCATCAATTATGATTATAGAACAGGGGCGAACAAAACCGCATAGATTTCTATTGAAGGAGGGACTGCAAAATTGGTCTAGTGACCACAACATGATGGTCTTGGAGGCTTTTGTTCACCTAGCAACACCCTAGGAAACACCCAAAACGACCTAGAATGCATCTAAAACGCCCTAGCAACTGAATAGCAACATACTGATTGTTTTAAATAGGAAAGCAGCAATCACATTTTCTTCTGCACTTGCTATTTTTTTATTATTTATATACTATTAAAATACTTTGAATTAGCTTATTTTCAGTTTCAATTATAATTTTAGTTATCTAAAAAGATCTAATAAATCTGCGCTAAAGCTACAAAAGTGATTTTTTTTATGTTTTTTAATTAACATTCATGACACAGAAACTAACTAATGGCGCTTTTCCACTGCGCGGTACGACTCGGCTCAGCACGGCTCAGTACGGCACGGCACGGTTCGGCTCGGCACGGTTTGCGTTTCCACTGCAGGTCAGTACCGCTTTAGAGTGGGCGGAATTATTCACATGTCGTTATAGTTGCGCCGCCTCTACTACCACAACTCCTAAAAAAAACTTTTTCATTCCGCGTCGCCCCATCAAGCTCTCGCTGGATCCGCTCCTCTGTTATCAACGAGAGGAACGTCTGTTCTTCCACAACAGACAACAAAACTTGTTGGTTGTTAAAAAAAGGTGCGCTCGTTCAAAACAGTTGCGTTCGATCCTTCGCTGGCTGTGCTGATTTAAATCTAGTGGTTCTTTTGTGTTTGTGTCGCAAGTTCAGTGACGCAGGTAGTAGGCCAAACAAAGTAGTTTCGCTTTCACAACGAAAAAGCGGCACACACCGCGGCCTTGAATGAGCGGAGGCTGGAGGCCTAGAGTGAGCCGCGGCCTAGAGTATGCGGAGGCCGGCTTGAGTGAGCAGAGGCGGGCGGGCCAATACTACAGCGAGAATAAAAGTTACGCCTTCTTTCTTTGCGTGAACAGTTGGGCGCCGTTATGCAAATCTTCAAATATCGTGACGTAGACATGTGTGCGTAGGGGCCATGTTAGAACGAGCCGTTTTAGGCAGGCGTGGTTGACTCTTAACTTTTATAAAGAATATCTCTTTGGATTTTTCTGTGAACCAACATACTATTACACGTCCATTTTCTTTCTCACTTGTTTACCTTCACCTAAGCCATAAGCAACTGTGTTTTTAAGGATACTTGCAGAGACATGCATTTTGACATAGTTGTGAACAGAATTCAGTGCTCACGTGCATCTGCGTGGCTCTCACCGCGTCTACACCAGAGGCGAGTGGCGCGGTGCGACGCGACAAAATACTATAGAACCCATTATAATCAGTGACGCTGTCTACACTATATACGGCG